TCAGGCTTATAGATGAAGTTTTTACAATTTATAAGTGTGAAATAATAGAAGGCATGTTATACTTAAAGAATATGACATCAATAGAAAATCTACAAATTTGACCCTCATGTCGATTTTTGACCAATATCTCCATTTGTGGATTGCGAGAAGTAACTAATTTTGTCAGCACGCCTCACAGTTTGTAAACAATTATCCAGTTACCACATCTTTACAAAGCAATTTATAATACCGAATCGTTTGCTTTGTCTTAAAAATGAAAAAAAACACCCTATATTCAAATGATTATGTGGGCGCTACCACCCAGGTCCACAAGCACTAGATGATTAGTTGTGCCGACAGGAGGTTTAAAGAGTGAGTCACAATCATTTATATTGGAGTTAACTGTTACATGATTTGATACTTGTGAAATGTTTTGGAAATTCCGAAAAAATTCTCTTATCATCGTTGCCTTTATCTACCATAGACGAGTGGCACTCGGCTACCTGTGTAGCGATAAAACACTCTAGTGTGTCTCTACTTTGTTCTCGTAAAGCCATTCCCCACATAGTCATTTGAATATAGTGGCTGGTATTATTCTAAGCCCTGATTGGAAATCCATGCGGGTGGGCGGTATGAAAATGTTAGCCTCTTCGAGGCGACACAAGTGGGCGTTGGCAATAAGAAAGGTTGACAAGCACTGGTCTTGATTGATCATTAAATTATGTTGCATCGTGGGGAAATCAGGTGTTCGACAAAATGATGAAATCAAAGAAACCTGGCCTGTTTGGCAAGTTTTGTCTTCTTTTTTTGGGGCTAAACATCTTTTATGTCAATTTGAAACCACATTTATGACAATGTGTAAATTGTTACTGTTCTGTATAAAATGTTGATTAAAGGCACAAAATGTAATTTTTCAGTTTCAAAGGATTCTCAAACTATGGACTTCATGATTTTGGTGACCATTTTCTTGACAATACTTCTGAAATCAAGTAACTCCCCCCCCCCCCCCCTGCTTTCAATTGCAAATATCCCGACTTCTGCTAAAGACAGCGGGACATTTTTTGATTGAAATCATGGCAAATTAACTAACAAGCTTAACGATGATACCAATAACCCCATAATCCAAAGAATTGACGAGAGACTGATTCCATCGTGCTGTGACAGATTAAGGAGACTGGCTGCTCCGACCCTGCCTGTCAGGGATAACTTCGGATGAGTGGGATACAACCCCCAACCCCCCTACCT